AAAAAAAAAAAAAAAAAAAAAAAAAAAAAAAAAAAAAAAAAAAAAAAAAAAAAACGGACAAGAAAAGATACGTATAGGAAGTTGTGTTCATTGCCTGATTCATTTCTGGTCAACCAACTTTGACACTGCTTGCAAATGATATCTAATTTTGGAGATTATTTTACTCTTTAAATTTAGTGCTGTATTTCTATTTGTTCCCTTGATAACATTTCGTAGCAGCTATATGGAGACGTTCTGTTATGTAGTGTTTCTCTGCAACTAAACATTTTACTATTAGTTACTATTTGTCAATGGTTTGAAATTGTTAGTCTTTAGCTAACCGGTTAGTTGATTGGTTGTTAGTTACCTGCTGTTCTAACAGGTGAAAATTAATTATTAGCTTAACAACTTTGATAGTTATGCTGTTATTTGATAATCCATTTGTACAAGAAGCTGCCCTCTCCTAATTGTGGCTATGAACAATAACAAGTTTTTCCAGCAGTTAACTTCATTATGTGATGAATCAAAATGGTTTGACATATAACAGGAGGGGTTGAGAACATAATCTATGTCCTGTCCTGTCCTGTTGCCATTAGGGGTTGATGTAATAGTCTTCTAAAGGTGAAACAAAATTAGGTTTCTTTAAATTTAGGTTAAATTTAGTTATTGCACATGGAGGTATGCAGGCTTATTCACCTGACTTTTGAACCCCGGTAATTTAGTCTTCTTATTGGCTCTTCCTATCATTTTTTGACTCTATACTTTCCAGCGGACATTGAAAATGTTTGTAGTCGCCTTCATATAGTATACCCTCTTATTTGCAGAAGGTCATGCCAAGCTTAGGTTGGAGGTGGCTTCTCGCATTTTCTTCTTTTCCTTCACTTCTTCTACTGATCTTCTACCAATATACTCCAGAGTCCCCACGATATCTCTGTTTACAAGGCAGAACAAGTGATGCAGCTATTATTTTAGAGAAAATAGCACGGCGTAATAGAACAAATCTCCCTCCTGGCGTTCTTGTCTCTGGTCACTCGTATGATTTTGAGGAGCAAAATATTCCCGTGGAAGATGTACATTTGCTTTCGCCAAGACAAACTAAAGTTGAAACTCCTCGAGCAACAAAATCTAATATGGTGGGTCTCTCTCCATTGTTAAAGCTTCTTTCTCGAGAACTGATTGTGTCTACATTGCTGTTGTGGGTGGTTTTCTTTGGAAATGCATTCTCTTATTATGGCCTCGTGTTGCTGACCACTGAGTTGACTGGGAAGAGTAGATGTACGACTACTGATATGCATCTAAATGAACATGATGATGTCAACTACAGAGATGTCTTTATCTCTAGTTTCGCAGGTAACGGTCTTTTGGTTGTTCCAAAGTTTTCTCTAGTCAGGGGCAAGGTTTGGTGGATGGATGATAATCTAACCTCAAATTTTCTTTGAAGAGTTACCTGGTCTCGCATTGTCAGCTGTCATTGTTGACAAATTAGGGCGTAAGTTATCGATGTCTGCAATGTTCTTCCTGGCTGCTACATTTCTATTTCCCTTGGCATTTTATCGGTTTGATGGCTTAACAACTAGCCTTTTGTTTGGAGCTCGCATATGCATCACATCTACATTCACAGTTGTCTATATATATGCTCCCGAGGTAAGTTGGAACACTAAAATTCATTGCTACGAGACAATTGCCACATCATGTATCACAACTAGACATGTTGCTTTCCTGCAGGTTCATAGTTTATGTTCCTAATAATATGTGATATGTTAAGAGGATGATCTGTCGTTGTCTGCATTTGATACTTGGTTTTTGATCTGGACTTGAGTTTTCCTATCATATGCCTTCGCTAAAACTAAAATCTCAATTACTTCCCATGTTATTTGCTTGTGTGATCTATCATGACAGGATTCATTATTACAGATTTGCATTCTTCATCTGTCCTTTATTCCACCTTGGTTTGGAATGTGATTACCAACCAAAATTTTCCTCCATACACTTTTTTGTTTCTTGGTGCAATCTTTGTTCACGCCCCGAGATTCTTGTATAGTTTTTCTCAAGAACTTTCTTCGCTCTGGGTACAACTTATTTATACTCTTATAATCTATGCAAACTACAGATATATCCGACCTCAAT